ATTTTTTTTGTGCACGGATACTGATTTTGGTGTGTTTTAACAATTGAATTGTGTATTTTTATCGGTTTAATATTAATTTGAGAAACATTTGCGCAATTATCGCAGGGCCTACAAATTTAGTATCACCATCTTTTTATTCTACCGGGCCTGCGCTTTCAGAAAATATATGGTTTGGGGGGTCTTTTACAAACGCTAGCAACGCAGCAGTTGAAAATCAAACCAATAGGAAAAAATTGCAGAAAATTCAAAAATGGCGCGGCCAGCTGATTTGAAAAATGTTCCGGAGGGCTTGGCAGCGAAAGGGTTAAAGCTAATATTTTATATTTGCAATGCCCAGTTAGAATTATAAAGACAAAATAGGGGCAGAGCTGAAAAGTTAAATGTATCAGTTTATTGATGATCCTCATTGCCCTGTGTAATATCGCATTTGCTTTTTGGGGCATTTACGGCAACTTACGTAAGTACTGTTTTTAAGTTCCACTTTGCTGAGGATGCTTTGAAATAATTAGTAACTTATTAGCTTTGCATTGCTTGGAGGGGATACATTTTGTTTTTGTTTAGTGTAAGCTACACATTCACCACTGGAGCTCAAACCCGTCTAAACTGAACACCAACTACTAGCTTGATCATTATGATAAGATTGAATACACTACTAGCTTCGATTTGCATCCAAACTGGTTTACACTAAAATAGAATTTGCATTAATACAACTGATCAGAAGTGCCTTTGTATTCTCGGAACGTCCCCTGTGCACGATTAGAAGCACCTGGCTGTGAATGGACGCAGCAGTTTAGTGTCCTTGCTTTTGATAAACTGAGAGCCATGGCCAGAATTTTCTAGCTGATATGGTAAATTGTCTGCCTGTGCATGTTGTCTGTGATTTCAGTATTGTGCTTGGCTGTTGATGATTAATTCTAAGCAGTGGTTCATGTCTAACAGATAAATTGATACGTTGTGTCCGCTGCCCGATTGCTTACCATGGTGGGGAGTCCTGTATTGCAGCAGGATGCACAGTGCTGTCACCTTCCAACATAATCTGTACTGCACACTTTGCTGCTAAGAAGGGCAACAGCCATCATTCCCATGTCAACGTGAGCTGGTGTTTCGTATGTTCCAAAGGTGAGTGCCTTTTCTTTCATTTTATTTTATTTGATAATGATATGAATTTTTTTTTTTTTTTTTTTTTT